GGATCCAGCGGAGTCTCCCCTCCGCCCGCCCTGCAGGTTTTCTCAGGGTCAGCCAGGTATAACCAGCATGATTTCCACCGCCATAGCCTTCACACGACACACACGCCTCAGTGAGCGTTTCACCAGTCATCCTATCTATATAAATACTAATGGAAATGTTCGTGTGTGTGTGTGTGTGTGTGTGTGTGTGTGTGTGTGTGTGTGTGTGTGTGTGTGTGTGTGTGTGTGTGTCCGCGCGCGCGCGCAATTACAGCCCCACTCCTGTGCCAGGTAAGTCCACTACGGGATCACCATAGCCCATGCTACTTTGGAACTTTTGTTCTAAGTAGCTGAATCTAAAACAAAGTTCGTTTGTGCATAACTGCTAATCTCGGAAAATTCTTCACCGATTGCTTTGAAATTTTGACAACGTTCCATTCGCATCGGGCCAGGTTTTTATATACCTACTATATCGATGTCACGTCTGTGACGGTAAAAAAAACATGCTTTTTCTGACAAACTGCGTTTTTCATGTGAGGGAACTCTTCGAAACCTCTTTACCGAGTGTTTTGATATTATGACAACGTTACATTCGAATAGGCGCGTCTTTTTATATACCTACTATATTCATGCCTCACCTGTGACAGGAAAAAACATGCTTTTTTTTTTTAAACAGCGCCATCTGTTGGATATAAGAGCAACACACGCTGTAATCTCCTAAAGTTCTTCACCAATTGCTTTGAAATTGATAACGTTACATTCGAATAGGCGCGTCTTTTTATATACCTACTATATAGATGCCACCCCTGTGACAGGTAAAAACAGGCGTTTTTGAAAAAACAGCGCCATCTGTTGCACTTAATAGCAACATGCACGCTATACTAAATATGTCACTAATTCCATTTCAATGTTTCCGATTGCATTGATAATGTTATTTTCATAGATTTCGATTTATTTTATTTCATTATTTTGTGTGACATTGTGTTGGAATTGAGCTGTGTTGTTTACCATACCGTTCATTTCGTAAGTATAGATGCCACACCTGTGACAGGTAAAACTATGCTTTTCTTGAAAAACAGCGCCAACTGTTGCATGTAAGAGCAACACACATGCTATACTAAATGTTACAATTACATTTCAATGTTTCTGATTGCATTGATAAATTAAATTTTCACAGATTTTGATTTATTTTCATTTTGATTTAATTATTTTGTGTGAGAATTGCGTTGGAATTGAGCTGTTTACCATACCGTTCATTTCGAGAGTACTGTATACTTTATTTTTTGATTTTTTCATATTTTCATTTCATTTTTTAACTGTTTTTCTTATATTTCAGTGATGAGATCATCAGATCACTTTATGTTTCCAATTTTCTGATGGGAACATCAGACCATTAGGGAAGGCATCGGACGAGGGAGTGGGGAATGGTGGGGAGGACGAGGGGACAAGGGAGTGGGGCATGCTGGGAAGGAAGAGGGGATGGTGGAGTGGGGAATGGTTGGGAGGCCGAGGAAACGGGTGAAGGGGGAATGGAGGGGAAGGACTGGGGGACAATGAAGGTTGCTGTGGCTCAGCCACGTGACCGTTAAGAGGTACTGACCGTTGAGGTGGTGAGAGAGGCGGCAGTGTTGTAGCAGCAGGAGAGTGAGAGTGGTGAGGGAGAGCAGGGCGAGCCCCAGCCGTCCACCTCCCCTCACCCTCATCACACACCATCACGCCTTCTGCGGGAGACACACACACGCACGCATTAGTCATCAACGCATCACAGTAATCAACAAACAGTAACATACAAATGATGCCAAACGCATAACATCAACATGACTAACATTAATGTTATTGTCTACGCTCTCTACTGCAGACATGAAAGTAGTGGGTGGCCTCCGGCAGCCTGTCCTCCCGCAGCCTGTCCGCCCGCAGCCTGTCCGCCCGCAGCCTGTCCTCCAACAAAGAACGTCGCTTTTCGTTCGTATGCGTTACATAAGGCCAAAAATTGTCGTAGCTAGAAAATTGAAGCGGCTGGCGAAAATACCGTATTGTCCCGTTTTCTGTTTTGGGTCCTCTGGTTGGTTAGGATAAGGGCACTTTATGTTGAGCGTTTTCTTGACGTTGGGAAACCTTAGGAGGACTGACTGGGGAAGGTGCTCGTAACTTGGAGCTAATAATATTGGAACATTAGTTTCACCACCTGTACCCCACTGGTTCACCACCTGTACCCCACTGGTCCACCACCTGTACCCACTGGTCCACCACCTGTACCCCACTGGTCCACCACCTGTACCCCACCGGTCCACCACCTGTACCCCACTGGTCCACCACCTGTACCCACTGGTCCACCACCTGTACCCCACTGGTCCACCACCTGTACCCCACTGGTCCACCACCTGTACCCACTGGTCCACCACCTGTACCCCACTGGTCCACCACCTGTACCCCACTGGTCCACCACCTGTACCCCATTCTACTCCCATAAATATTTTATTCCTATTTATTAATTTATAAATTGATATATAACTGACATCATCGTTTTGAACAAAAAACAATACTTTCAACGTGATATAAATTTTGAGTTCTGACACATTTGTTGCAATAATTTTCAGATCATTTAAATTCGTGCAGAAAGCAGTTAGTACCGCACTGTTGAGGGCTGTGTGTTGAGGGAGCCGGGGAGCTGTTGCTCTCGTAGTGTTCCATACACAACAAGTAGTGTAACGCAGTCCTGGAACACACACACACATTGAAGTCTTGTACTTAGTAAGCTTTAAGAACACATCTGACTGTCGCTTGTCACGCACCATGACAACACTGCACGCACGCACACGCACACGCACAAAGAGCCAAAGCTCAACCCCCGCAAGCACAACTAGGTGAGTACACACACACACTAAACGTGACTGCTCATATACTGTAAAACGCTTTGCTATTATAGATACCAATAGGGGAACTACCAGAGGATTGGAAAACAGCCATTGTGATATCTTTACCTAAGTGGTGGTGGTGGTGGTGGTGGTGGGGGAGTGGTGGTGGTGGTGGTGGGGGGGTGGTAGTGGGAAGGGGAACAAGAACCAAGGCACCACAGACGAACATCACCAAGAAGTAATCCTTACAAGGCCAGACGATCCCAAAGTAGTCACACAACGACTTAAAATAGTTGAAAACCACCATTAATCTCCCCTTTGTTTACCCTCGCATACCTCCCCAGGCTCGCCAAACTTATCGTGAAAGATGCTGACGGTGCTCAAAGAGGAGAGGGGGAGTTGGAATCACTGTATCTTCCTTGATAATTATAAATAATTCAACACAGTACCGCGCAAGAGACTCCTGGCAAGCATAGGCAACACACTGGCCAGGTTGGGTCACTGTATGACCTTGACCCTTCCTCACTACCTTGTTGGTCACGTCTGAGTAGTCTCTTGTGCGGGAGTGTTGAAGGATGTAGAATTATCTATCATCACTGCCAGAACACATCCACACACTCCGCTACACTAGCAAGATATATACTTACTATACCACAAAATGTACATAAATGCAGTCTTCATAAAACAAATAGAGGGGTGTAGGAGGAGGGGAGGGGAGATGGGGGGCAGCTCTGGGGAGAGAGGGAGGGCAGCTCTGGGGAGGGTGAGGGGAGATGGGGGGCAGCTCTGGGGAGAGAGGGAGGGCAGCTCTGGGGAGGGTGAGGGGAGAGGGCAGCTCTGGGGAGTAAGGGGAGAGAGGGGGGCAGCTCTGGGGAGAGAGAGAGAGAGAGGGCAGCTCTGGGGAGTATGGGGAGAGAGAGGGCAGCTCTGGGGAGGGGGTGTGCGCGGGTCCGACATCATTTAGGTAGGCCTGGTTCGCATTACTATCGACATAAATGAATACCAATTTCCAGAGTCATTAAGGCTGCAATTTCCTTCGTCATTTGAAATAATTTAATCCTTAACAGCACTGAGGATTAAACTCAGTGCATATATATATATATATATATACACTACAAACTATACCACTATTTTACACAAATTATTTCAGTTGCAAACTATGTCTTCTGTGACTAACATTTCCTTACAGGCAGTATCAATTACAACTGATCATTTGCATATTACGCAATACACCGGGAATTAACAACCAGTCATTTAGAGAAAACGCTACAGACAGAGCCAGACTGACAGCTACAACACCCCCCCCCCCTCATAATATGAGGTTATCTTGAGATGATTTCGGGGCTTTTTAGTGTCCCCGCGGCCCGGTCCTCGACCAGGCCTCCACCCCCAGGAAGCAGCCCGTGACAGCTGACTAACACCCAGGTACCTATTTACTGCTAGGTAACAGGGGCATAGGGTGAAAGAAACTCTGCCCATTGTTTCTCGCCGGCGCCTGGGATCGAACCCAGGACCACAGGATCACAAGTCCAGCGTGCTGTCCGCTCGGCCGACCGGCTCCCTTGAGCTGGTTTGAGGATGCCCACAAATTATTAATGAGGTTCCCAGAAACCAAATCCATATTTATAAACTCTGGAGTATTACCTCTCCGCTCCACAATACGCGCTGGAATGTGCAGAGTTCCGTACTGGCTGCTACGTTCTCTTACCGCCGGTGAACGTAGCCAGGGGCCACATTCACGACGCAGTTACGCAAGCACTTACGAACCTGTCCATCTTTTCTCAATCTTTGGCGGTTTTGTTTACAATTATTAAACAATGAGCGCCGAAGCACCAGGAGGCTGTTTATAACAATAACAACAGTTGATTGGCAAGTTTTCATGTTTGTAAACTGTTTAATAAATGTAACCAAAGCAGTCAAAGATTGAGGAAAGATGTACACGTTCGTAAGTATTTTCGTAACTGCTTCGTGAATCTGGCTCCTGGACAACATTCACCCCGTTGTCTTAAGGTTTCCCATCGTCAAGAAAACGGTCAATTTAAAGTGTCCTTATCCTAACCTCCCACCAGAGGACCCAAAACAGAAAACGGGACAGTACGTCACTTTCGCCAGCCGCTGCCATTTTCTAGGACGAGAATTTTTGGCCAGATGTAACGCATGCGAGCGAAAAGCGACGTTGTTTGTAGGAGGACACGTCGCAAGAGGACAGGTCGCAGGAGGACAGGCTGCAGGAGGACTGGTCGCAGGAGGACAGGTCGCAGGAGGACAGGTCGCAGGAGGACAGGTCGCAGGAGGACAGGTCGCAGGAGGACAGGCTGCAAGAGGACAGGCTGTAGGAGGACAGGCTGCAAGAGGACAGGCTGCAAGAGGACAGGCTGCAAGAGGACAGGTCGCAGGAGGACAGGTCGCAGGAGGACGGGTCGCAGGAGGACGGGTCGCAGGAGGACAGGTCGCAGGAGGACAGGTCGCAGGAGGACAGGTTGCAGGAGGACGGGTTGCAGGAGGACGGGTTGCAGGAGGACGGGTTGCAACATTACCTTGCAACCCTCGCCTGGCTCCGCTACTCTTGCTGCTGGTTACCCGACACTGGGTCGGTAGTATAGTAAACTCAGCTTTACATATACTCCCATATACTCTACATATACTGTAACCTCAGTACATGTAAACCAGTCACTTAGCTACTACATCAAGTGATTATCTCAGTGACTGACAGTGAAGTTAATCTATACATGGCACCATCGTCTCACTAGAGCAGTGGGTCTATGCTGCATATCACTAAATGAATAGATAATATATAACAAAGTAATGTATTAACTAAACACTGACAGGGATATACTGATGACTGACAGTATATTCTCGTCCCCCAAGCACAGTAGTAAACGCTGAAAGGATAAGTAAGGATAAGTAAGGATAGTAATCGCTGGTAAGGATTACTCAAATACAATAGGATGATACTAGGCTCCAAATCAAGACAATTCTATACTGTTCAACACACGATTGGATAACTAGGTGAACAGTAGCGTACATTCAAGTATTATCTCAATCACATCCTTGCAAGACCATGCCTCTGTGTTGCAGCCTGGTTGATACCTGGTTGATGGGGTTCTGGGAGTTCTTCTACTCCCCAAGCCCGGCCCGAGGCCAGGCTTGACTTGTGAGAGTTTGGTCCACTAGGCTGTTGTTTGCAGCGGCCCGCAGGCCCACATACCCACCACAGCCCGGCTGATCCGGAGCATGGTATATGGGGCATTTTTTTTTTTTTTTTTTTTTTTTTTTTTTTTTTAAGATGTTCCATACAAGCAAATCGTTGCTTGCAGTATTTGGCAAAAGAAATCCCTTATTATTTATTTTAGTGAAAGAAACTCTGCCCATTTTGTTTCCACCTCCACCGGGAATCGAACCCGGAACCTCAGGACTACGAACCTGAAGCGCTGTCCACTCAGCTGTCAGGCCCCTATCGGGTTAACCCCATACCAGCCCGTCCTCCAAACAAAGATCCAAAAGTGATTCCATGCACCCGCCAAACCCCCTGTTTATGAATGAAAAGCGGTTTACACACGACTCTCAACTGCTGACGTTCGAACATATCCGGAACAAGTGCTTCACTGACGAATTTTGTTCGAATCACAACGCTATGAATGCTTCACCCACGTACTACAAATACAAATAATCGCCAACAGAACCTAAACACCTAACCTAACCTATGCCTATATATGCACAATATGCTAATATATTATAATATTAATTTATACTTGAGAAAATTCCCGTTTTGAATGAACAGCATATTAAAATTTATGAATGCGTCTGTGGGGTCGACCGCTGGATGTAATGGACTTGAGTCGAGGACGGGTTGCCCATACTTGCCAATCGTGTTGCAAGGTTGAGTGTACGGGGCGGCTCTTGTATTGCGCTCTGCAACATTACCCTCAACAGTGATTCGGTAAATCTAATTTGGCGGAGCGTTAATGTTAATGAGTACTTTAGGTGCACATTGTCAAGACGGGGGGGGGGGGGGGCTCTGTGTTGCGGCGCTGCCAGCTCTCCCCCGGCCAGTGGGGGGCGGGGGGGGCGTCAGTTTCGGTTTTGGGAACTATAATTTGATTTCAATAGCCTTCTTGTGTTCCATTATTGTTTTTTTGTCTGCTTTCTATATTATAATAATGTTACCATTACCGAGTTTCCTTCACTACACTGTTAGATCATTCACTAAGGAAATATATACATATATACTTGCATGTATGAATTCTATGTACTGTCTCAGAAGCCTGTCCTGTACCCTAGGCTACGCTGCCAGCCGCACGACGCCGCCTCACCACTTCAATATTAATAGTTCTCACAAAGTTAGGCTTTATTTTATATACCTTATAATGTTTGTAGTTTAGTGTCACACGTTCCTCCTTCACTAGCTGCTGTGTGGTTCACCACCACATTGTGACGAGTGTGGGGGTACGGCCACCACATTGTGACAAGTGTGGGGGTACGGCCACCACATTGTGACGAGTGTGGGGGTACGGCCACCACATTGTGACAAGTGTGGGGGTACGGCCACCACATTGTGACAAGTGTGGGGGTACGGCCACCACATTGTGACAAGTGTGGGGGTACGGCCACCACATTGTGACAAGTGTGGGGGTACGGCCACCACATTGTGACAAGTGTGGGGGTACGGCCACCACATTGTGACAAGTGTGGGGGTACGGCCACCACATTGTGACAAGTGTGGGGGTACGGCCACCACATTGTGACAAGTGTGGGGGTACGGCCACCACATTGTGACAAGTGTGGGGGTACGGCCACCACATTGTGACAAGTGTGGGGGTACGGCCACCACATTGTGACAAGTGTGGGGGTACGGCCACCACATTGTGACAAGTGTGGGGGTACGGCCATCACTGTGGCCAGATAGTGTTTTTATTTTGCCTCGAGGGGCGAGATTAACTGCTAGGTAACAGGGGCATTCAGGGTTATCTTGAGGTTATCTTGAGATGATTTCGGGGCTTTTAGTGTCCCCGCGGCCCAGTCCTCGACCAGGCCTCCACCCCCAGGAAGCAGCCTGTGACAGCTGACTAACACCCAGGTACCTATTTACTGCTAGGTAACAGGGGCATAGGGTGAAAGAAACTCTGCCCATTGTTTCTCGCCAGCGCCTGGGATCGAACCCAGGACGACAGGATCACAAGTCCAGTGTGCTGTCCGCTCGGCCGACCGGCTCCCAGAAAGAGTGAAAGAAACTTTGCCCATTTGTTTCTGCCTGGTGCGGGAATCGAACCCGCGCCACAGAATTACGAGTCTTAATGGGCAGCGCCACTCATCCAACGGCCATACCACGTTGAGAACACCGCTTCTCGTCCGATCAGCGAAGTTAAGCAACGTTGAGTTTGGTTAGTACTTGGATGGGTGATCGCCTGGGAACACCAAATGCTGTTGGCAATAATGTTTTAAGGGAGCCGAGCGGACAGCACGCTGCACTTGTGATCCTGTGGTCCCGGGTTCGATCCCGGGCGCCGGCGAGAAACAATGGGAAAAGTTCCTTTCACCCTATGCCCCTGTTACCTAGCAGTAAAATAGGTACCTGGGTGTTAGTCAGCTGTCACGGGCTGGTTCCTGGGGGTGGAGGCCTGGTCAAGGACCGGGCCGCGGGGACACTAAAGCCCCGAAATCATCTCAAGATAACCTCAAGATCCTGCGAGTGGACACACCGCCATAGCATCATTTACAACACTCCCCAATAGGAAGAAAACCCGCTGGGTTGTTCATCCTGTCACTTGTACCCAGACACAGCTGGGACTTGCTTAACTGTCAAGTGAACTGCTTATCAAACAACACCACCCCCATTTACCAACCTCTAAACTTACGTTATTTCGCGGGTAGAAAGTGGGGGCCAATCTTGTAGGAACAGTCTCCATATTCGACAAAAATTTTTTTCATAATTCAACCAATGTGGGGTTAATTATTCAACTCATGTCTAATGTCTTTGAGGTGGGTACATCTCTCGGGTCGAGGCGGTGTCCGTCACTCACCACAGACACTACAGCCCTCTTGCTCAGCTGCTGTTTCCACCCCGAATCTCTATGGGTTACAAAGAACGTCACTTTTCGCTCGTATGCGTTACACAAGGCCAAAAAATTGTACTAGAAAACGGAAGCGGCTGGCGAAAGTGACGTACTGTCCCGTTTTCCGTTTTAGGTCCTCTGGTAGGTTAGGAGACAACATTAAATTGACCGTTTTCTCGACGTTGGGAAAGCATAGGACAGGCCATTGGTTGCTGCTGGCAATCCCAGTCATTATGGACAAAAGTGTGATACGCTATTGTCTATCTGCTTAAGGTTCAATGCCAATCACAAAGGTTCAATGTCAATCAATGTCCACACACAGGTGGCAACATGCAGTGTCCTTTTCAGCACGATGCTCCTGGCCTCCTCGACACCCACCCACACCCTGGACACTCACACTACACACTTACACCCGCCGGGGAATTCATAAAGCTAATATATAAAAAAATGGCCATCACAGCCACCCCTAGAACTGGGAGATGAGCTTGCTTGCCCCGATTGTCTTAGGCTCCTTATCTCTGATATCATGGCCAGTCAAATGGAGAAAAATCACAAAAAGGTCGAGAATGTAAAGACACAGACTATACATAGCGTCACAGACTATGCATAGCGTCACAGACTATGCATAGCGTCACAGACTATACATAGCGTCACAGACTATGCATAGCGTCACAGACTATACATAGCGTCACAGACTATACATAGCGTCACAGACTATACATAGCTGCATAGACTATACATAGCACTGGGGTGAGCATCTGTGTACCTGGGGAGAGAGGCCGGTGATGATGATTTTGATGATAGTGAAGATCATGTCATCTTCCATGGTGCTGGTCTCTTGGGTCACTTTAATTGTCCAGCCTGTGGAGTTGTGTCTTCATATTACTGCACCTGCGGGACCACACCTGTCTTATCACCGGGACCACACCTGTGTTATCACCACCCAGCACCGGGACCACACCTGTGTTATCACCACCCAGCACCGGGACCACACCTGTGTTATCACCGGGACCACACCTGTGTTATCACCACCCAGCACCGGGACCACACCTGTGTTATCACCGGGACCACACCTGTGTTATCACCACCCAGCACTGGGACCACACCTGTGTTATCACCACACCCACCAAACATCACGACAAACCTCCCATAATCAAAGGAGACATAAAGAAACAATATACTTGTTAAGAGAAAAATACGAAGACGTAATAGACTCCACAGTTAAACAAGAAGAGGAGAAACTAAATAAGATGATGAGAAGAGACAGCAAGAAGACAAGACAGGTGTGAGTGACAGGATAGTTCTGGAAGAGGTCATGGTTGGACCACGAACATCAAATGGGACAGGGAAAAAATTACCTCAAATGGGACGGGGGGGGGGGGGGGGGGTATTTACCTCAAATGGGACAGGGGGGAAAAATACCTCAAATGGGACAGGGGGGGGGGAATACCTCAAATGGGACAGGGGGGAAAAATTATCTCAAATGGGACAGGGGGAAAAAATTACCTCAAATGGGACGGGGGAAAAAAATTACCTCAAATGGGACAGGGGAAATAATATTCAATGCGATATCATTATCTTGCATATTTTGTTTTTATATATGCGCGCGTTGTGTATCTGTAATCCCTTAATTGTGTCTGTATGATCAAGTTTAAGCTCTTGGGTCCCACCTTTCCAGTTGCCAGTCGTCTAACGCAATGAAGTTTCTCCTTTCACATCTCCTTCAACAAACTGGCTTAGTTTCTACTGCCTTCTCGTCTAGTTCATTTCATTGTCCTGATACTCTTATGCTAAATGAGCACTTTCCCGCATGTCTGTGGCTCCTCATCTTGTGCTGGTGGTATTTATTGTAAGCGTTTATGTCTCTTTCTCCTTTCTGGTAAAGTTAGGTCCAGTTCTTTAATATATTTCCTTCATATCCCATCCACAGTAGCTCTGGGAGTAGTCTGACGTACGTGGCGTACACAGCTTACTGAGGGCCCAGAAGGTGGTCCTGGTGGTCGTCGGTCTAAGGTATACCGCTCACGTTATAGTGTTTACATGTGCCTGTGAACTAAGACTTGCTGGTTTACCTCGTCTAATGTATCTAGGGTGTGTGGTTATCCTTAATTGTTTATCACCTGTATATTTCCTGTTCTCGTCACCTTACACTTACTGGTATTAATTTCCACTAGCCATTTCTAACATCAACTCTACAGTCTGTCTAGATCTTCTTAGAGTAGTCTACAATATTCCTGTCTGCACAGTTACCGACATAATGACACAGTATGGGTCCTTGGGCCGATCCTTGGAGGGGGGAGTGCTCCCCTTCTCCCTGACTGAGGGGGAGTAGACTGAGTTTGTCCAGTCTACTGACATTCTTTGTAACCTGCTTGCCAGAAATATATAAATCCGTCTAACACTGCCTGTTGTTCATCTGGACCTTGACACGTTGGTGGCGGCTCAGATCTCCAGCGTTACAATATCCGCATTCTGGTTTGCCTCTATTTCTTCCGTAATTTTGTCGTAAAGCTTGGGGAGTGCCGTCTCTTGAGTGGCCACGACGGGTAAAAAGGCAGTGTATTAAAACGCGCGAACAAGATCCCGGAAAAAGGCATACAAAAACGTGGTTGTTTGAGCGCCTCTGTGATTCATAGTGCGCCTTATCTTGTCTGTTGGGGGAAATTTTGGCGTCAAAATACCATGTGATATTTGAGAGGACAGGATGAGTTGCGTCAGGCACCAGCATCTTGCTCTCAGGTCGCGTACACTGGCTTCTCTCCTTCATTGGTCTCCATAAAACTATAAATATGATCACTAATTACGCCTTCAAAGACTGCATGCATATGCTAATGCATTGCATGTGCATATTCATGCTAACTTCAAGGTATATGCCTCTTTGCATGCACTGTCACATCCATGTGAGACAGTGCAACCTATCTATCATTTTCAACCTTTGCTTCCTCTCTTGTGGAGGTGGGGCTACACGTAATAATTTGTGTGCTTGTGGTATCTCGACAATATCCATATTGCCCATTACATCAAACATTCGCGCTACTGATAATTTCCATTTATTTACAGATATGGAGCTTCACAAATCAGGATCCGAGATATCATCCCCGAAAATCATGCCGAGTGCCAAGTGCTTAGGCATGTTAATTTACTGTCAAAAATGAGTTTAAATTAGTATTCGATATTTCGCCTATAAAGTTTCTAAAATAGTGATGTTCTTTTAGGATTTTCCTCAGTCCATTGTCATCCTTTGTATACTAACTTCCTGGTGCTAGTGGTGGACCCGCAAGCTGGACCACTAGTGGTGGTCCACAAGCTGGACCGGTACTGTAAGTTCTGGCTACTTGTGTTACATAAGTGAACAAGTTTGATGTATTTTAATATATTTCTTGTTTGACTTCGTTCACTTATACTTTTCTTTAGTCTGATAACACAGCTTCAGCCTCTACTCTTTCCTGTAATCTCTAACTTGAACTAATTGTAATTGTCTTTATGTAGCGTCGTCTGCTGCTAGAAGTCAAAGGACGTATTTCATGTAGGTGTTGCAGACTTCCACACCGACTTCTGAATCATCAAGATGGTGTCTCAAAGAGAGATGGTCCCCCAGTTCTTTGTGAGCTGCTCATCAGTCTATGAATCTCGGGTGTTTGTGTAATATAATTCCGTCTTTGTTCTCTTTAACTCGAGTATCTCCTCCAATCATTTGGAGTAGACGGTAGAGGGGACAATCTCGCTTCCTGCAAGTCGGCGTTCGCTCCCCGACGGTCCAAGTGGTCGGGGCACCATTCCTTTTCCCCTGTCCCATCCCAAATCCTTATCCTGATCCCTTCCAAGTGCTATATAGCCGTAACGGCTTAGCGCTTTTTTCCCCGATAGTTCTCTTCCCTTTTCACCATGTTAGTTCCAAGAGGTTTTTATGTCTGTTGGTTCTTAGGCCGGTTTGTTCCATGTTTTGTGGCGATTTCAGGTTTGTGTTCAGTGGTGGGGGTGGTAGGGGGGGGGTGTTGCTGCGATGTTGAAGGGCACTCAACCCCCACACAGGAAAATATAGGACGTGGCGACGTTTCGGTCCGTCGTGGACCATTAAGTGACGTTTCGGTCCGTCGTGGACCATTAAGTGACGTTTCGGTCCGTCGTGGACCATTAAGTGACGTTTCGGTCCGTCGTGGACCATTAAGTGACGTTTCGGTCCGTCGTGGACCATTAAGTGACGTTTCGGTCCGTCGTGGACCATTAAGTGACGTTTCGGTCCGTCGTGGACCATTAAGTGACGTTTCGGTCCGTCGTGGACCATTAAGTGACGTTTCGGTCCGTCGTGGACCATTAACAAGTGGTGTGAAAGTGGTCACCATCTTGACCTTCAGATGTGTGGGATGGATTAACCCTAATGTCTACGCTCTCAGCTCACAACAGAGAGAGACCCGGGTTCAATCCCCCGGGACAGAACAGAGATGGTTGGATTCACTTCCTTGTGCCCCTGTTCACCTAGCAGTAAAATAAGTACACTGAAGCAAGGTAACTGTGGGTTGCCTCCTGGGAGGACTGGCTCTAGGGAAGGGGGCTTCTATTAGGGCAAGTATAGGCTTCCTGTCCCCGACAGGGCGGGGAGTCATACCCCCTCCATTCTGTATATGCCGTTGTCTGTGGTAATGTCTCATCTGTGCAACTCGCTTAATTCTGTGCCCCGTTGTGCCTCCAGTGCCACGCTGTGGCATTCTGTACCCTTCACGTGGACATAGCACAGTGCTAAGCCATAGCACTGTCTTCCCTTAACTGAAGACTTGCACAATTTAGGATAGAAATCCCAGCAATTTACACCATGACAATATCTTCTCTTCGCGTACACACTCGCACATTTTTTTGGGGGAAGGCATAAGAATTCACACTGTTTCACTACACGCTCCCTTGTGCTGGTGCCCAGGATCAACTTCCCCGCGGCCCGGTTTCTCGCCACGCCTCCTGGCTGGTTGTCTAGTCAACAAGGCTGTTAGATGCGGCTTTTTTTCTGTGTGTTTGACTAATTTAAATCTGCAAGTAGAGGGTTACGGGGCCAAAGACGTGTAAAGCGTTGCTAATGGTACGGGAGCTACTATGAGGGAGACTTAAGGAAGCTCCAAGACGACCTTGAGTGGTGAATTATCACAAGACGCCGTCACCAACCTTGAGGTTACCTTGAGGTGTTTCCGGGGCTTAGCGTCCCCGCGGCCCGGTCGTCGACCAGGCCGCCTCGTTGCTGGACTGGTCAACCAGACTGGTCTGGTAGCTACCTGCTTGATGGGGTTCTGGGAGTAGTTCTACTCCCCAAGCCCGGCCCAAGGCCAGGCTTGACTTGAGAGAGTTTGGTCCACCAGGCTGTTGCTTGGAGCGGCCCGCAGGCCCGCAGGCCCACATACCCACTACAGTCCGGTTGGTCCGGAACTTTTTAGAAAACAGACCAGTTTCCTCTTGAAGATGTCCACGGTTGTTCCGGCAATATTTCTTATGCTCGCTGGGAGGGTGTTGAACAACTGCGGACCTCTGATGTTTATACAGTGTTCTCCGATTGTGCCTATGGCACCTCTGCTCTTCACTGGTTCTATTCTGCATTTTCTTCCATATCGTTCACTCCAGTACGTTCTTATTCACCCTGTATTATGTTTCAGTTCCTCATTTTTGCCGTACCCGAGTACCTGGAATTTATCACTGTTAAACATGTTATTTTCTGCTGCCCAATCGAAAACTTTGTTGATATCTGCTTGTAATTTTTCAATGTCTTCAGCAAAGGTAATTTTCATGCTGATTTTTGTGTCATCTGCAAAGGATGACACGAAGCTGTGGCGTGTATTTTTGTCTATTTCTGATATGAGAATAAGGAACAGCAGCGGTGCAAGGACTGTATCTTGAGGTACTGAGCTTTTAACATCGCTTGGACTATTTTATTTGATTGACTGTTACTCTTTGTGTTCTATTCGACAGGAAATTGAGTATCCAGCGTCTTACTTTATCAGTTAAACCCATTGACCTCATTTTGTGAGCTATCATCCCATGGTCACATTTGTCGAATGCCTTAGCAAAGTGTGTATACAACATCTGCATTTTGCTTTTCTTCTAGAGCTTCTGTGATTTTGTCATAGTGGTTGAGT